ATTCATGCTGCTCCTTAGGCAACAAAATAAATGGGGCCACGCTGTAGATACTTTCCTAAGACAAATTCATCAGGTGAGGGAGAAAGATAATTTAGATTAATCATATATTGTGTAGGCAAGTTCAATGGAGAGAGAGATTAAGTAAAAACCTAACATGGACATAAGGACCACCTCCACCAAGCAGGACACATGGACAAACAAGGACTCCCCAAAAGAACCAAGGAGTAGCCGGGCGCGGTGGCTTAAGCCTGTAATCCCAGCACTTTGGGAGGCCGAGGCGGGTGGATCACGAGGTCAAGAGATTGAGACCATCCTGGTCAACATGGTGAAACCCCGTCTCTACTAAAAATACAAAAAATTAGCTGGTCATGGTGGCGCGGGCCTGTAATCCCAGCTACTCAGGAGGCTGAGGCAGGAGAATTGCCTGAACCTGGGAGGCAGAGGCTGCGGTGAGCCGAGATCACGCCATTGCACTCCAGCCTGGGAAACAAGAGCGAAACTCCGTCTCAAAAAAAAAAAAAAAAGGACAAAAGGATAAGGCTAATATCCAGAAACTACAAAGAACTTAAACAACCCCATCCAAAAGAGGGTAAAGGATATATGAACAGACACTTTTCAAAAGAAGACATTTCTGCAGCCAACAAATGTAGGAAAAAAGCTCATTATCACTGGTCATTAGAGAAATGCAAATAAAACCACACTGAGATACCACCTCAGCCAGTTAGAATGGCCATCACTAAAAAACCAGGAGACAACAGACGCTAGAGAGGACGTGGAAAATTAGAAATGCTTTTATACTATTGGTGGGAGTGTGAATTAATTCAACCATTGTGGCAGACAGTGTGGCAATTGCTTAAGAATTTAAAAATAGAAATATCATTTGACCCAGCAATCCCATTACTGAGCAATCCTTAGGTATATACCCAAGGGATTATAAATCATTCTATTATAAAGACACATGCACGCGTATGTTTATTGCAACACTGTTCACAATAGCAAATACTTGGAACCAACCCAAATACCCATCAATGATAGACTGGATAAAGAAAATGCAGCACATGTATACCATGGAATACTATACAGCCATAAAAAGGATGAGTTCATGTCCTTTGCAGGAACATGGATGAAACTGGAAACCATCATTCTCAGCAAACTGACACAAGAACAGAAAACCAAACACCACATGTTCTCACTCATAAGTCGTTGTTGAATAATGAGAACACATGCACACAGGGAGGGGAATATCATGCACTGGGGCCTGGAGTTTAAGGGGCTGGGGGAGGAATAGCAGGGGATGGGGGGAATAGCATTAGGAGAAATACCTAATGTAGATGACAGGGCGATGGATGCAGCCAGCCACCACCGTGGCACATGTATACGTATGTAACAAACCTGCACGATCTGCACTTGTACCCTAGAACTGAAAGTATAATAAGTAATTTTTAAAAAATTTTTTAAGTAAAAAAATAAAGGATAGATGAGCATTTCAGGCAAAAAACCAGTGTGTTCTAATCATATTTGTGAAAATAAATTATATTTTGACTACATTTTCTTATTTTTATATATTAAAAAAAAACTTTGCAATGCTCAGTCTCTTATTTTATAAAAAAAAAAAGTTGATACATATTCTTTTCATCATCTCAACTCTTGTCAGGTCATGGAAGGTTTACTCAATTTCGCTTTTTAGTCTCACTTCATGGTATGCTGCCTGTACTTCTCATGAGGGAAAAACTCCAGCTCAGAATCAGATGCCCTCTAGAGAAAGGCTGGCTTGACTTTGTTGTGTGTCTGCACCAAATGACTTATTTTTTCAATAAAACCCTCAGTGCAGCTTGGTGACTATATGTTACCTTCCCTCTAAAGAGCCCCAGAAGCCACAGAGATCATTTTCCAAGTGAACTATTGAGCATTGCAGTACTGTGCATCAGGGGAGTGAGACTTAGATGGCAGGGGAAGAACTTTACAGGAGACCAGGAAAAGGAAAAGGAGATCAGTAGACAGCTGTCACTCCATGTCTCTTAAAGACACATTGGCAGTGAATATGAATGCTTGACAAAGAGGAAATTCGACACTGGAGGGATGACCCATAACTGCTATAACTCAATGCTTCCTGCATTTTTATAGAACTTTGTTATTGTACAGGTTGTTAAACTGATACCTTAATTACATGCATTGTGGCCAAGTTATAGCTGTCATGAGAGGCATAAATCTGATCTTTTTGACATGCCCTGGAGCAGATCATTTTGTTAAGGATAGTTAAATAGTTGTTAAGGATAGCAAAATAGTTGTGGATCCAATTTTGATGTCAAAAGGAGATATGCAATACAGAGATTTACTTCACCACTAAATAAGTACAACTGTTCTCTACTTTGCTGCTGATGGATGTGTTTTGTAAAAAGAGTGAAGTATAACCTGATGTCAAATTCTGAAGGAAATTTATATTGCAGAATTTTAAAATGAAGCTCTTTCTTGGCAAATTGAATAGGTAGCTCAAATTTGTAGTCACTATTGCAAAGATTGATTCAATTAGGACTTCCAAAAATTCATTAAAATATAGGCTTTGGGGATTTAAAAAATTATATATCCATTAAATCTATCAAATAAGTAAGGTTTTGGTCTTTGGGGTAAATGGGTCTCTTATTGTTTTCTACCCAATAATTGTAAGGTTTGATTTCCTTTGTGTTAACCCACAACTGATTTGTTCTAGAATTTTATTCTCAGCACCTGTCATCAGTCTTAGCTGTCATAAATCTGCCTCTTATGTACTTCAATTTCCAGCCACTGTTCTTAAACAAGGATACACACAAGACTATATGCAACTATTTTTGCCCAATATAGATGGAATATATTTGGTGTTCCACTAAATTACGTTATTAAAAAGTAAGTATAAGCTTGTGCGGTACATTTTTCTATTAGTTTGGAGTTTCAAATTTATTCTATAATCTTGGAGCTGTACTGTATGGAAGCAAGAGCTTAAATGGGAAAACTCATCAAAAAATAATTTTAAAACTTTACTCATCTCACGCCACTTAGAATGGCGATCATTAAAAAATCTGGAGACAACAGATGCTGGAGAGGATGTGGAGAAAAAGGAACAGTTTTACACCGTTGGTGGGAGTGTAAATTAGTTCAACCATTGTGGAAGACAGTGTGGCGATTCCTCAAGGCCTTAGAAATAGAAATTCCATTTGACCCAGCAATCCCATTACTGGGTATATATCCAAAAGACTATAAATCGTTCTACTATAAGGACACATGTACACGAATGTTCATTGCAGCACTGTTTACAATAGCAAAGACCTGGAATCAACCCAAATGCCCATTGATAATAGACTGGATTGGAAAAATGTGGCACATATACACCATGGAATATTATGCAGCAATCAGAAATGATGAGTTCGTGTCGTTTGTAGGGACATGGATGAATCTGGAGAACATCATCCTCAGCAAACTGACACAAGAACAGAAAATGAAACACCGCATATTCTCACTCATAGGTGGGTGATGAAAAATGAGAACACATGGACACAGAAAGGGGAGTACTAAACACTTGGGTCTATTGGGGGGAAAAGGGGAGGGCCAGTGGGAGGGGGAGGTGGGAAGGGATAGCCTGGGGAGAAATGCCAAATGTGGGTGAAGGGGAGAAGAAAAGCAAAGCACACTGCCATGTGTGTACCTACGCAACTGTCTCGCATGCTCTGCTCATGTACCCCAAAACCTATAATCAAATAAAAAGTTAAAAAAAAAAAAAAAAAAGAAATGTTTAGGACACTCTCATTCAGACATAAATGGGAATATCCTAAATAGTTATTTACATAAACCGATCTCTATGCCTTTCATTGGAACTGAAAGCATTACTAGGTGTTCTTTCACTGAGCAATGAAGCTATTAAAATGGAAAACTAAAAATATTTTTGGAAGGATAAGCCTTCTGGTTTGTTATGTTGGTTAGACAACTGAATGGCAGATACTGACTGGGGTGTGAAAGCCACTTTTTGTGGATGTATATTTCTGCTGTACCTACCAATTTTGAATCATATGAATGCTTCATCTAGTTACAAACAAAGCCTTTTATATTGTTATTGGCAACATTTAAAATACTTTTAGACAATAATTTATCTATCTTGGTAGGCTTGACTTGCAGTTAAATTGCTGGAGGTTTGCAAGCAGAAATGAGGGTCTACCTACATTAGGGAGAGAAAAAAAGATTAGACTCTGAGCTAAATGGATGGTTAGGGACCATCTGCTACAAATCTTACACTTTTAACTGAGGCTTGGTAGGTTAAATACCTTTTCCATGTCCACACAGCTGATAAGTGTCTGAGCTGGTCTTCAAGTCCATGACTATGATTTCTAAGTGTGGGGTCTCTAATGACGAGCTTCATTCTTTGGCTTTGAGCAATCAACTTCTGTAGGATTCCATTTTGTTATCTAGAAAATGAGAATGGTCACCCCTAACTCACTAGACGTTTGTGAGAAACAGGTTTTTATAGAAAATAAGGAGCTGAACACTTAGCAGGGAGCTCCGCCATTGGTTACTGGGATTTGCAGTGATAGTTAAGCAGTAGCAGAAGTGACTCAGTTAGAGTAGAATTTGGGTGAGAAACCATGACTGAAATTCAGGCATTAATGCACAGCTGAATGTCCTTTCCAATAAACCATATTTTAATTTCCTCGAACAAAATTCATTATTTGTGGAAGATTGTTTGTATAGTTTGGCAATATGTAATTTGGAGTTACTGTGTTTATTAAGAGCTTACATACAATATATTCCTCTGCATCATTTGCGACTGTCTTTTTGAAAAAGAAAACGAAAACAACACACACACACATTTGGATTCAATTTCCATATTTCAGATGACTAACCACGTTATCGTCTGTGAGTCATTTTGATCCTACGAACCTTAAATTCTTCATCTGCAAGAAAGGAATAAGATACTTCTCCACTTAAAGTAAAGGATCATTGTAGAAATTAACATTTTAAAATGAATTTGAACATACCTTTAATCTTAAGATGCTTCACTTTCTGTTCCAAATGTAAAGGTTTTATCTGGTGAGTTGTCTGACAGAGGTGCTGAGAATCGGTTTAGAGTTGCACAGATGGGGTTTCTAACACTGCATGCCTCTCCTGCAACTCTGGTAAACATCCTTATCTATTCTAAGCCTCAGTGTCCAATATGCTTCTTAGGGTTATTTCTGAAATCAAAACAGAGAGAGTATATAAAATGTCTGGCACACAGTTCATTTAAGAAATTGCAGCTATTTTAATTATTTTTAGTAGACCAGAGAAAAAAAGAGCCATACAATCGTTAGTGATATCAGAGTCTTAGCTCTCTTAGCTGTATCCAGTGGAGAGTAAAATTACACTTTTACTCATCCCCAGTTTCTTTCCAGTGCTTAAAATTGTTTTCTGAGGCTCAGAAGCCTCAATATACGTAATTCTTAACCATGAAAAATGGAATTTCAAAATTTTGCAAATTTATGACAATAAGCTAGCCAGACTGCTATAATCTGCTTCTCGTAATAAAAATCAGAGGGCACCTTGTGGCCACTGGAGGAGGCATGTATTCTGGTCAGCCTTGTTCCTATGGTGATATAAGCATTTGAGCAGATGCCCTAAAGGCAGTTAGCTATCACTGTCATGTTGGCTAATAGTGGCAGGGTGACATCGATCCACATGGACAACTTTATTCATGTTTCCAGCCAAAACCCTAATCACTTTGCTGACTCTTCCTCAGTCAAACAGGTAGTGAATGACAGTCATTTAAAACTTCAAACTTTGAAAGTCAATGTATTAGAGCTCAAAGAAAGACTGCAGAGGCAAGTCAGATACTCTCAGCTCATTATGGATTAAGTTGTCAGTTCTTGAGATTAGCTTTCTTTGTCTGTGTGTGTGTGCGCATATGTGTGTATGTATGTATGTTCTGCATGTGTTTTGCACTGGCAGGCAAAGAGATACTCTTTTAGATACCCCTTCAAGGAAGGACTTGCTACCTAGCAGTAACCAATGTGGTCATCAGATATCTTCCAGCTCTCAGTAACTTCAGAATCTGACTCAGCTGCTGCTAAAAGCTGCCTTGCCTAATCTCATTTCCTTCCCAGGACAGTGACACCCCATAGCTGAGCCATGTGGAGTTAGAAAGTCCTGCTCTAGAGCTGCCCAAGGGGCTGCCTGAGGTCAATACAGGCTTTTCCAGGCCTGTACTGGAGTTTAACTTCTCTACCCAATCCTGCTTCCCCCATTCTTTCTGCAGACATTGATCTCTAGTCACCATTTGACACCTCAGACTTCCTTGAAACATCTGGTCCCTGAGAACTAACTTCTGCAACGTGTAGCATTGAGGATGGCCCAAGATAGCAGGAAGGAGTTTGGATCTAGATCACTCACAGCTCAAGAGACAGTGGGAAACCCATCATTGGTGATAGGTAGAACACAGTCCCCAACTTTGAACTGGTAAAAATTTGACCTGTGGTAAATTGAGAGGGTAACTAGTTGAAAGAGAATGTGTAGCTGGACATGAAGTTCTAAGCATTAAAATGTATAAGGAAAATAATAGCTATAAGGGTATGACATTAGGCTGTTCTTGCTAAGCAACATTGCTCTTTACATAAAAATAATGAAGAACTGAGGGAGTGAACTAGAAGTAAAAGACAGGTGCATAACAGAAGGTCTCTCTAGCTGCATACAGAAAAAGCCCGCATCTCTTCTGGCAGGGGCATAAAGAAGCCATGTGCCAAACCTAAGACTTTCTAATCAAAGTGGCTGAACCTCAAAGGGAGTTCAATGCATTGGTTTGTGACATCCAGAAAGGTCATCCCTGACCCCTAATATTAGTTTTTATCATTTTGTCTTCTAACACTGGCTATCTTATGCTTAAATCTTGGCTCCATCTACAATTTGTTTCCATTTATAAGGTTAGGTCTATATTTATCGTTTAAAATGTTGAACAAAACTATTTTCAATTTAAGGTATTTTTAAAATAGCTACTGTGTTTTATTCATTTTTTCTCAATAGACCGGACTCAATTCTCAATGCATCTTAAATGACTGAGTAAACAGATAAATACGCCATACCAGTATTATCTTGGTCATAGAAATTTGGGATTTACACCAGTAGGTAAGTAGGATGATAGTTTTTAAAGAGAAAAATTAAAAAATGATTGGGAAAGCCTGCTGTAAAGTAAGTTGTATATGTGATGTGTAATTCAATGAAAGTGTTTGGAAAAAGGGAGGCATATAACCAAAGATTGCAATCCCTCAAAGACAGAAGCTTCAGCTTTTTTTTTTTGAACTGTTTTAATCTTTTATATTATTTATTTATTTCTATTTTTCTTTGTTGTTATGTAATAACAAAAGCCAATAAAGAGCTCTCTGAGTGGCTGTACTCTCTGCTTGTATAAACAGGGATGATGCAGCCAGGCGTGGTGGCTCAAGCCTGTAATCCCAGCACTTTGGGAAGCCAAGGCGGGCAGATCACAAGGTTAAGAGATCGAGACCGTCCTGGCGAACATGGTGAAACCCCATCTCTACTAAAAGTATAAAAATTAGCTGGGCGTGGTGGCACGTGCCTGTAGTGCCAGATACTTGGGAGGCTGAGGCAGGAGACTTGCTTGAACCTGGGAGGCAGAGGTTGCAGTGAGCCGAGATTGTGCCACTGCACTCCAGCCTGGTGCCTGGTGACACAGTGAGACTCTGTCTCAAAAAGAAAAAAAAAAAAACAGGGATGATGCCTAACCCAGCTTTGTTTCCTGTTGGTTCATTTCGTTTACTTATTATCCTTTGGCTAATTAACAATTACTGACCTTTATTATATTGTTAATGAGTAGTTGGGTAGTAGGGTATTGAGTCGTTTTTATCATGCTAAAGAAAACATAATAGTTATCTAAGACAGAAGGTTTTCCTCGATGTCTTATTGGGGAAAAAAAAAGTTAACAAGCAAGTCTTTATATGATCTTGAGTCCATGAAATTAACATTATCTTCAAAATGGCTTTATAGAACAAGCAGAAGTGATCTTTATATGATTAGTTCTGGGATCAAACTTCTATAAAAACTAATATATACTATTGCAATAAGTTACTAAATATGGTGACCCATCTGTTGAGATGGGGTGACTGTGTACTTTTCTGTTATTCTGAGTTCATAAAAGGATACAATTAAATATATTTTATGTATATATGTATGTGTATATATAAATTCATAGTTATATTTTTGCTTATTGTTGATAAAATTTATCCCCGGGCATCTACCAATTTAACATACTTTGTGAACAGAGGCACTGAATGCCTTTGTTGCCTTTCTTCTGGCAATTTTTTCTTTTATTTATTTAGAGACAGGGTCTTGCTCTGTTGCCCAGGCCAGAGCGCAGGGGCAAGAGTAGAATCATGGCTCACTGCAGCTTCAATCTCCCAGGCTCAAGCAATCTTCCCACTTCAGCCTCCCAAGTAGCTGGGACTATAGGTGGGTGCCATCATGCTTAGATAATTTTTAAACTTTTTTTGTAGAGACACACTCTCGCTATATTGCCAGGGCTGGTTTTGAACTCCTGGTCTCAAGCAATCCTTTCACCTCAGCCTCCAAAAGTTCCGGGATTACAGGTGTGAGTCATCCCCACCTGGGCTTGTTCTGGAATTTTTTTCAGGGAAGTGTATATAGCAAAAAGAATTGAAGATGGAGATATTATCTTCCTTTGGAAAGAGAGAAAGGCATGCTTACTTCATTATAAAAATTTAGTTCCCTGAGGTCTGGGTTTCTCTGCTGTATGCAACCCACTGAAAATGCCATCTGTTCCACTGTTTGTTAGAATTGGGGCTTAGGAACCCAGTGGAAGAAAATGTGGATACTCTGGCTACTGCTTTTGCTTTGAGTACTAAAGCCCTTATTTATTACCCTGGAGTTTCAGGTCTACTGCTTGCATCTGCAAAATTGTGACAGAGTAACTTAGTAGCTCCAAAATAGGGTAAAAAGTTCGCACTCTTCACCCATTCTTGACAATTATTTATTTAGATAGAGAGAGTTCTCTGTAGATAACATATCTTTTACCTGTTTGTTTTTTAATTAAATTTTTCCTTTTCTCATAGGTGCTGCAAAACAATCAAGATAAAACTGACATTTTGTTATGAAAATGGAGAAGCTAGATTTATCTTTTTCATGTAAGAGCATTTTTCTTCTTTGCTGAGGTCTAAGCAGAGTTACCTACCGGCTGGGTTAACAGATATCTCCAATGTCAATTTTAGAGCCGGTACAAGACGCTAAAGTCTTAGATATTAGATTAGTCAAGGTTTTCTAAAGAAACAGAATCAGTAGGATATATAAATATATGTATGAATATATATATGTCTATATAGATATATACATGTATGAATATATATGTGTATGCGTGCGTGCGCGCGCACACACACACACACACACACAACTTGGAGGTTACCAAGTCCAAAATCTGCAGGGTAGGCTATCTACCAGGGATGAGCTCATGTTGTAGTTCAAATCGGAAGATCGTTTGCAGGAAGAATTTCTTCCTACTCAGGAAAAGTCACTCTTGTTCTATCAAGTGAAGGCCATCAGGTGATTGGATGACACCCACACACATTTTGGAGGGAAATCTACTTTACTCAAAGCTGATATAATCTTAATTTCATCAAAAAATACCCTCTCATCAAAACATTCAGAATAATATTTAAACAAATATTTGGGCACTGTGGCCCACCAATTGAACGATAAAAATGATAATCACTGGTACCATTGTATACTAATTTAAAAAATATGTATTCTGGCCGGACGCGGTGGCTCAAGCCTGTAATCCCAGCACTTTGGGAGGCCGAGGCGGGTGGATCACGAGGTCAACAGATCGAGACCATCCTGGTCAACATGGTGAAACCCCGTCTCTACTAAAAATTACAAAAAATTAGCTGGGCACGGTGGCGCGTGCCTGTAATCCCAGCTACTCAGGAGGCTGAGGCAGGAGAATTGCCTGAACCCAGGGGGCGGAGGTTGCGGTGAGCCGAGATCACGCCATTGCACTCTAGCCTGGGTAACAAGAGCGAAACTCCGTCTCAAAAAAAAAAAAAATATGTATTCTATGGTCTAATGATTTTGGAACCTATTCTAGACAAATTTAGCTTCCTTGATACATACAGTGCATATTAATATATTAAATGTTCTGAAAAATCTACATTTTAATCTACCCATTAAAATTTCTTAGACTAAAAAAGCAACTTCTTTGATCATATAACCCTCTTTCCGGCAACATCTATTAACAATGAATAAGACTAGCATTCAACAAGTCACTCTTTATTAAATACTGCCTTAGTTCATTTAGTGTTGGTGTAAAGGAATACCCCAGTCTGGGTAATTTATAAAGAAAAAAAGTTCATTTGGCTCGTGGTTCTGCAGGTTGTACAAGAAGCATGGCACCAGTATCTGTTTCTGGTGAGCCCCTCAGGAAGCTTACAATAGTGGTGGAAAGTGAAGGGGAACAGGTATGTAGAGATCACATGGTGCCGGACAAAGGACAAGAGAGCGAGGAGGTGCCAGTCTCTTTAACAACCAGCTCCCACAGAAACTCAAAAAGCCAGAACTCACTCCCTTCCTAGTAGAGCACTGATCTAGTCATGTGGGATCTGCTCTCCCGACCCAAACACCTCTCAATAGGCCCCAACTCCAGCACTGGGGATCACATTTCAACATGAGATTTGGATGGGATGAATATCCAAACTATAGCACATACTCCTATGGAATATGATAGAGATGATATTTTTCAACTGTAAAACCCAAGGTTTTACTCACCTTGATTTTTTTAGAACTTTGCAATGGAAGTTATTGAATATTTACTCATCTACCCAATGTTTTATTATGGCTCTCCTACATTAGTTTCCTATTTTAATATTGGGAAGTAAATGTAATTTTTGAAGGAGACTTATTCTGTGTTACACAGTCTTAGCCTAAATATATCTTCTCTATATGGTTTGCATTTTTCAAGCCATTTTTTAAAAAATAAACATGCACTTTAGACTATCTGCAAATGCTGTTACTTTTAGAAGCCTAGAGTTTATCCAACGGTCCACGCATGTTTTCTAGAAGAAGCCTAGTAGTAAATATTTGAGGCTTTGCTGGCCACATATCTCAACTAGTTAGCTCTACCATACACAATATGTAAGCAAATGGATGTGGCTGTGATCCAGTGAAATTTCATTTACAAAAAGAGTTGGCTAGGATTTGGCCCAAAGGCCATTATTTACTAATCCTCTATCTAAAATAGCCCTCTAGAGAAATAAGAGAAAGTGAGCTATGAATGGAAAACTATATAGTTTTAAATTTTCTAGTAGCTGCATTTAAAAAGTAAAAGGATGCATACATAATTAATTTTAGTAATATATTTTATTTAATCAAATATATATTAGCATTTACGTATATAATCAATATATACACTATTAATACGACATTTTGCGGTCTTTCTTTTCTAAAAACCTTTGATGCCCAGTGTGTATTTTATACTTCACTGTATCTCAAGTAAGAATAACCACATTTCAAGTACTCAACAACCACACACAACTATTGATGATCATATTGTGCATTTTTTCTATATTTTCATATCTCTAAATGCTATTTCTTTTTCTAATAAGAAAGATTCTTACTATTTTTCTCCTAAGACAAAAGCAAACATTAATACAAATTTTAAATATTGTAAATAACTTCAACTTTGATCATTCTTATGACTACCAAGATATTTAAGTCATATGTCTAAAAGTATTTTAAATGTTGCCAATAGCAATTCAAAGTCTTGATTTATAACTAGATGATTCATTCATGATTCAAAAATGTATAAATACAGCAGGAGCACACAACAAAAAGTTTCTTTCACACCCAGTCCCTGTCATTCAGCTGCCTCACCAATATAATCAACCAGAAAATTTGTCCTTCCAAAAATATTTTTAGTTTTCCATTTTAATAGCTTCATAGCTAGTTATGTTATCTGGCTGTGCTTTTTTTCTGGCTGGGCACAGTGGCTCACGCCTATAATCCCAGCATTCTGGGAGGCCGAGGCAGGAGGATTATGAGGTCAGGAGTTTAAGACCAGCCTGGCCAACATAGTGAAACCCCGTCTCTACTAAAAATATGAAAATTAGCTGGGCGTGGTGGTGGGTGCCTGTAGCCCAGCTACTTGGGAGACTGAGTCAGGAGAATCCCTTGAACCCAGGAATCGGAGGTTGCAGTGAACAGATATCTTGCCACTGCACTCTAGCCTGGGCAACACAGAGAGACTCTATCTCAAAAAAAAAAAAAAAAAAAAACAAAGAAGAAAGAACACCTAGTTATGTTTTCAGTTCTGGTGGGCGGCATAAAGAGCCGTTTACATAAATAAATATTTAGGATATTCTCATTCGGACATAATAAGAATATCCTAAATGTTCCTTTAAAGAGTTTTAAAACTACTTGATGAGTTTCCACGTGTAAATTCCTGCTTGCATAATATATAGCACCAGGATTTTAGAATAAACCTGAAATTGAAAACTAATAGCAATATGCACTACAGAAGCTTATGTATTTTTTTATAGTTCAAAGTAATTTAGAGGAAGAACAGATACCTTCTACATATATTGGGCAATAGTTGCATATATTCCTGTGTGTATCTTTGTTTAAGAACTGTGGCTTGAATTTGAAGTACATACAAAAAAAATTACAATGAGTAAAAAAGATACTAAGTGCTGAAAATAAAATTCTAGAACAAGTCAGTTGTGGTTTAACACAAAGGAAATCAAACCTTGCAATTGTCTGGTAGAAAAACAATAAGAGACCCATTTACCCCAAAGACCAAAATCTTACTTATTTAATAGATTCAATAGATATATATTTTTTTAATCCCTGAAGCCTGTGTCTTAATGAGTTTTCAAACTATATAAACTGTACAACAAATCTTCCACAAATAATGAATTTTATTTGAGGAAATTAAAAGACAGTTTATGGGAAAGGGCATTCGGCTATGTATTAATGCCTCAGTTTAAGGCATGATTTTTCTCCCAAATTCTACTATCACCGAACTGCTTCTGCTACTGCTTAACTATTATGGTAAACCCAGTAATTAACTACAGAGCTCCATGCTAACTGTTCAGCTTCTTCTTTTCCACATACTAGCATGTGTTCCCCAAAAATGCCCAGTGAGTTAGGGATGATCATTCCTGTTTTCTAGATAACAGAATAAAATCCTACAGGAGTTCATCATTCAAAGCCAAAGAATTAATCTAATCATTAAAGACCTCATGTTTTAAAATTATGATCATGCATTTGAAGAGAAACTCAGCCCTTACCAGCTGTGTGAACTTGGATCAGTGACTTAACCTACCAGTCTCAGTTTGAAATTGTAGGATTTGTAGCAGATGGTCCATAAGCATCTGATATGGTTTAGCTGTGTCCCCACCCAAATCTCAAATTGAATTCTATTTCCCAGGATTCCCATGTGTTGTGGGAGGGACCCAGGAGAGGTCATTGAATTATGGGAATTGGTCTTTCCCATGCTATTCTCATGAGAGTGATTTAGTCTCACGAGATCTGATGGGTTTATCAGGGGTTTCTGCTTTTGCTTCTTCCTCTTTTTTTCTCTTGCCTCAGATGTAAGAAGTGCCTGTCACCTCCCACCATGATTCTGAGGCCTCCCCACCCATGTGGAACTGTAAGTTCAATTAAACCTCTTTTTGTTCCCAGTTTCATATATACCCTTATCAGTAGTGTGAAAATGAACCAAGAAAAAATTTATGGAACTCTAAGTTTCTGTCTTTTTCATTTTTTGTTTCTTTGTGTTCTTATTTAGGCAGACCCTTCCTCCTACTTGGGCTCCCATGAAACCTCCAGCAATTTAATCACAACTCACACCACCTGTGGTTGCCTCAGAAATTAGCCTCATTGCCACTAAATTCCATGTCCTATAATGGGAATCCCTACCCCTAGAGTTATCCATAAGAAGCCTAATGGCAATCAGAATTAACCTAACTGTCCATGAGTAGATGGTGGTGTTGTGGAAGAAATAAGATTTTCTGAGTGAAGGCAGGGGGTGGAGTGTTAACTGTTCCACATATTCGGTCACTATTTTCCAAGCTCTATCAGCCACTTATATCTATTCTTATACATGCTTAAGCCCAACAATATTTTTTCTCACATTTTTAAATCAGCTTTCAGCTTTATTTTTTATTAAATGTGCTGCAGAAAGCCTTGTAAGGGGGTAAAGAAGCCAAAGAAAAACAGAGAAAGAAAACCCATCTGAGATCATTGATCACTGTGTGAATTATTTCTTTTCTGTTTTTCATAAAACTCGTAAAATTATCTCAAAACTACAAGACTTAAAATGTCATTTATCTTTGATTACTAACAAGCAGGGTCTTGAGTTCAGTGAACTTTCATTGTAAGAATGGATTTCAAGCCATTGTAAATCTTTCATCATGAGAAGGACTTACAAGTATGTATTAGAAATAAACAAAAAAATAGAAAAATCTTTCAAAATGTATTATATTCCAAAATTCTAAAGCAATCTCCAAAGCAAATTATTGGCATATTGAAAAGGGCTTAAACTTTCAAGTCAGAGTGAGGTTTGAGCCTCTAACACTCAGTGATGTGTGACCTTGGATAAGTTACTCAACCTCTCTCAGCCCCTCCAGTGACATAAAACTAATAATATTTACAATAAAGATATTCATGGAGATTAGATGAAGTAAAATTTAAAAAGTATTTCACACAGAATATCATACAATGAAGTCCTTAATAATTGCTGCTTTCCTTTATTAAGAGACAAATAAAATCTAACTTCTGTTTTCTCTTTCCTAGTAAATGAGAACTGAAGGGTGATATTTATATTGAACAGAATAATACTCTTGGCTGACCTTGAGCAAACTGGGAGCTGTGCTTTCCATCTATTTAGCATTGCCTGTGCCAGGAATTACTGGACAGATCCATTTGACATAAGAACTTTCATACCTGAGCCACTGCCCAGAAATTGTGGCATTACTTCTGGGAAGTTTTGCAAACACTTTGAACTTATTTGCTAAAGTTGCTTTGCATTCTGTACTGCTGGGCCCCTCTGCACATCTATGATTTGGCTGAAGCTGATGCTGGCTGTGCCAGCATATTTTCAACCTGATCAAGGCATGGAGCCCTGAAAATTTCATGAGATTCTGTTTTCATAGGCTTTCCAAATTTATGCCAAGCTTTACAGATCCCCAAAGTATGCATAATTCAGAAAAAAAATAAGAGAGGGTCTACCAACTCAGATACAACATTTGATATGCTTAATTCAGGTTGAATTCAGACTCATTTGGGACTGTGAATTTTTATTTCACTTTTAGTAAAGAAAACCTTTTATCATTTTACAAGATGTGCTTTCAAATTTAAAAATAGTAGAAAGTTTCTAGAAGCCGAAACAATAATACTTGACAACACCAATAAAGACTTAGAGTTAAGTCCTAGATGGATCCAAACTAGGTCTATGTTCTCCTGGATTAAACCATAAATTTGCTTGCTTTTATGCCTTTTTAATGGAGTACTATACAATGGATTCTCATTAGTTTCTTAGCAATTATCAGGCATCTGTTGAATGAGGCACAATTCCTTACCTCCCTTGTCTGTTGTTTTAATGCAGTTGCATACAGTATATTCAACCACCAATAATACACTTCACAAATGCTCTTCATTAATCACTTCTGGAAGGATATTTTTTCTATTCAACTGTATTGATTATGTAACAACCAATCCATTTCCTTCTTTTATATCAGACATGTAAGTATCGATTATAATTTCTGTGCAACATGAGGCATCCAACATGCCACATTGATCTGATTCATTCTAAGCAAAAGGAAAGAAACATGGTGATTTAACTAACCTAGAGCAACCGTATTTTAGAGAGAGGTTCAGTTTCTGTCACACTTCTTAAAATATTGAAAAAAAAAAACCCTGCTTGATTTTCTTTTTGATTTATGAGCGTTTCCAGGCGAGAACCATCATGTTTTTAATTCCGTCATCTATTCATTCATTCCGCAAACCATTTTTGAGCATGTATCCTGTACTACATGCCAGATGAAGACACAATGTAGTCATTATTTTATGCCTTTGTCAATGTAGATCAGATAAAACTATTGAAGGATCAATCAATATAAGGATTTAAAGAAATCGGTTTGATATTTGTGAAAGTAGAATGTGCTTTGACTCAGTACATATATCTAAAAGTTAATATAAGTGACTAATTGTTGGCATTGATTTCTCCTACTCTTGCATCTTCACCCTATGTGGAAAGAAAAAAGCTAAGTTTGTTCACCAGTGTTCTTTTTTAAATTTAAACCTATGTGAAAATGGATGAAGAAGACTGGTATGAGTCAGATTAATCTCACGTAAAACCATAAAAGGTAGAGACTATTGAGAGGCCGAGGCAGGTGGATCACGAGGTCAAGAGATCGAGACCATCCTGGCCAACATGGTGAAGCCCCGTCTCTACTAAAAATACAAAAATTAGCTGGGCGTGGTGGTGTGCGCCTGTAGTCCCAGCTACTCGGGAGGCTGAGGCAGGAGAACTGCTTGAACCCAGGAGAGGGAGGTTGCAGTGAGCTGAGATTGTGCCACTGCACTCCAGCCTGGTTCCTGGCAACAGAGGGAGACTGTCTCACAAAAAAAAAAAGGTAGAGACTAACATGCTATAAGAGACACATCTTCTGCTCTACTTGTGTTCCTGATGATCACTTTACTCAATTCCCATGGTCAATATGTTGCCCTCTTGTACTCTAAACTTCTTCTTAAGGAGATAAAAATGGTTTATATGCCATTAGAATTTAAAATGCAAAGATGTTATTTTTCTAGTGAATGTTAGAAAGATGATAAAGTTTCTTCCATTGGCATTAATTAGTTGATCACAACTGGTCTTGAGGATCTGGGAAACAAGGCTTTAGCATTTGTAATGAATAGTCCGAATTATCTACAGGAAGAAAGCCAAGATTTTGAGCCAATAGACCTACATTTGGGTTTCAACTGCATCTATTATTAGTTTCATAACTGAGCAAGTCATTCAATCACTTTAAGATGAGGAACCCTTATCTATAAGATGCAATGGTATAAATATATATTCTATTTCTATCACACTCAAAGCAACAGAAGCATTGCCATGTGAATATCAACAAACTTAAGTGTTCATTTAAAGGAGAAAAAAAAATTCCCTTTAAAGTGCCCAAGGAAAGGCAAAATGAATAGAGAGACAATAGAAGGTATTTTAATCAGATTGAGTTACACTAAATGCTGAGACAGGTAAATTTTGAAAGTTCAAAAACTTGACACAATATAATTGCAAGTACAACTAAAGGAAATTATAGAGGGATTCTTTGAAATCTTGGAAGAGTAAGTCTGCTGAAAGTGGTCTTAACGACCCTTGGAACCATGAAGTTCTGTTATTAATTCTCTGTATTTGGCTAACTAGAGAGCAAAAAGAGAATCTAAATGAGAAAAAAAATCTCACTGGGAGCTTGGGGCCAGGTTTGGAAATAGTATATAACATTTGCCCCCTTTCTACTTTCTAGAATTAATCCTGTAGACACACCACACCAGGATGGAAATTTTCTTCTTTCCTCGTGCCTATCAGAAAATGAGGAAAAAATAGTGAACACATAGCATCCAATGCACCACAAAAGCCTCCTTAAAAGAGAAGAGATACTAAAGGTATCCAGAAATATTTCTGAGGACAAATGAAAGATAAAGAATTAAATTTCTAAATCATAAAGCATTGTTCCAGATATTGATAATAACAGCCACCAGAAACTTCAATATATTATCTAAGAAAAGCATGTGTTTACTAATTAGAAAGTAAAACAGCACAGGATATCTAAATATCAAATAAATAATTAAACAAGGCAGTTGAACATCATTTGGATATTACTGCTTTTATTGTATAATCACTTGTTTTTGTATTTGATTAATGTAAAATTAGAGGGTGACTCATATTTTTCTTATATACAATTTGTTTGGTTGACAAGAACTTTCAAATACAGAATCCATTGAGTAAAGTACATCTTAAAAGGATTGTAAAGAAGGGAATGATCACCCTACATATAATCACTAGACTGAATATATATTGTGAGAAGTCAAATTTGAAATAAGCAAAAGGTCTTTTGTGGGTGGCCCTTCACCATTCCCTCTAGCCATAGTCTTCAAAGATTGATCGAAATTTGTGGGTGGATCTTTAGCATTGACAAAATCAACCAAGGCATCAGCAGAAACAGCCATGTTCTTAATGGCCATGACTTATACATTGATTACATGACCCTTTTTCCAAAATCAGCCAAGCAACTGGCAGATTCTGAAAATGAGCATAGTAGTCTGTTTTCACACTGCTGTAAAGAAATACCAGAGACTAGGTAATTTATAAAGAAAAGAAATTTAATTGACTCACAGTTCATGACTGACTCCCCAGGAAACTTATAATCATGGTGGGAACTTACACTCATGGCGAAAGGTGAGGGGAAAGCAAGGCACATCTTCCCATAGTGGAGCAGTGGGGAGAGACAGCAAAGGGCAAAGTACCACATACTTTTAAACCACCAGATCTCGTGAGAACTCACTCACTATCAGGAGAACAGCAAGGGGGAAAATTCACCTCCAAGATCCAATCGCTTCCACCAGGCCCCTCCCCTGATACGTGAGGATTATAGTTCTACATGAAATTTGGGTGGGGACATGGAAGAAATTCAACGTTTTCATTTCATATTAAAAAAAAACAGAAGTTAATACAAGAAAAGTTTCTTTTTATTTAAAAGAAAAAAGCAAGATATTTGGTGTTCTAGCCCAAATTTTTCATACTGCATTACATGTATAAGCCTCAAGAAGTTGTTCATCACTTATTGGCCCACATAATGCCTAAATTCTAGACTGAGACAAGTTATGACATATCACTGCTTCAGAAATATGAGTGAATAGGAAAAGAAAAATAACTCAAGGAATGAAACAAGACAAAAAAAGAGGACTCAAAAAAGTCTGTGTGTGTGTGTGTGTGTGTGTGTATAATTATCATACTACAGACTTATTTTACTTTCACTCTTTAAAGGAAGGTTCACTCTTTATTTAGTAAAATTGAGCAAATGTGTCCATATCAGCAACTCTTTTACTTCAGAAATTGAAGTGGGTCAGAAGCCCCCTCTGAGGCAGAAGTTGAAAATCTGTAGCTCTATGACCATTAGATGAGTTTTTTATTTGCCCACATTCCAACTAGCTGCCAAAGGTTAAAACTAAGAAGATTGCACAGAAAAAAAAAAAACTGTGTTGTGCACTTCTTTTGAAAAATGGATTGATCTAAGAACTCTGAGTCAACATTTCTGGAACTGAGGGCCAGGAGAAACTCTTACTATGGATGTAGACCCTGCAGTTCACCAGAGGCTCCAGCACTCCTCAATACTTTACCCAACATCACTATCACTTACCTGCTCATAGCTCCTAATGTATCATATCCTAGGTGCCTAGAGGCTTCTGAGTTTGTGATCCCTGTCAAAACACTTTACCTTCCATCTCTGTGGCTTTATCCAAATAAAGTTTACTCTCGGTGTTCCCATCTGAAAAATGCATGCAATTGGCTCTATTTTATATCATTGTTTCTTTGATTATGTAACGTCATATGTGAAGGGCCTTGTGCATATTCTGGTGCATTTGCTGCATAAGTAAACCCTGTACCCAATCTAAAAGTCCCTTATTTCCAGTTAGTAAATATTATGAAAGAATTAAGCTGCTGCAATTTCCATGGTGCTTAGCAACGTGTTAGCAATGACTCTGTTCTAATTGACTGTAGATTATCCATCAGATTTCTGTAGAACAAAGAATAATTATAATAACAATAGCCAACATTTATCAAGTGCACGTAGTATGCCAGAAACTTTGTTTAAACACAGAAACATTTCTAAATGTTAAATCATATGCCTGTTTTTATGTGTTTTAGAAAAAAATATATAATACACCTCCTCTATGATTTTCCTGATATTCCTACATTGAAAAAACAGCAGAGTTGAGTAAGGAGGTGGATGAGATCACTGAGTTCATTTAAAGTCTGCCTGTGTTAGTCTGTTTTCACACTACTCTACAGAACTACCTGAGACTGGGTAATTTATAAAGAAAAGAGGTTTAATTGATTCATAGCTCTGCATGGCTGATGAGGCCTCAGGAAACTTACAATCATGGTGGAAGGTGAAGGGGAAGCAAGCACCATCTTCGCAAGGCAGCAGGAGAGAGAGCTGGGGAGGCGGGGAGTGTCACACTTTTAAACCATCAGATCTCTTGAGAACTCACTATCGTGAGAACAGCATGGGGAAAATTTGCCTCCATGATCTAATCACCCCCCACCAGACCCTCCCCTGATATGAAAAGATTACAATTCGACATGAGCTTTGGGTGAAGACACCGAGCAAAACCATATCACTATCTAAATGAAAAGACACATAAATAAATATTTGACAGATTTGCACTCGGACGTAACAGACATATGATGATCGTTACCTAATAAATAATCATTCAGAAATACCAATTTAGGAGGTTAATACCTAACCAGCTTCAATTCTCAGCCTCAACAGGTGCTAACACAAAGAAGTGTCCCATAGTCTCATATGCAATACTCGCACGCTAATGGCCAGGCTGTCATGGTTTCAGCTTCTCCCTTGTAAGCATATTGCTCTTGTGGCCTTTCTGTGGTCAGTGTTGCTTTACAGTGAGAACGTTACCTGTTTCTGCCAGAAGACAGGTGGCTTCAGAAGGCAAATGGGTCTGGCTCCTGTGACATTTTGTTAAACCATGAATCATGCAAAACAAAATCCTTTATGGCTCATAAAGCCTTGCTAATAAGGCAGATGTCCTCTAAACAGTTCTTTGGGGCCTAAAATGCAAATATTAATGTGCTGTTGATCACTGAACCTTAGTTTTAGTAACTGGTTTTCTCTTCATTATCTTCTATTATTTTCTGTGAAAAAAAAAAAATCCATTCTCAACTAAAGAACCTGATGGATAGAATACAACTGATATCAAAGGTTTTTATGGCCTCACTATCAATAAATGAAATGAAATCTCTCTTAAGTAGTAATGATACTCCAGAAAGGGCAACAGATAATAAGACCATGGCAATAGAACATTCGGTGATGATCCTTTCACATGAAAACTTATTATCAGTGCTAATCGGTCATTGCTCCCTATTAGTTTAGGCATATTGGATATGTTTTCTTATAAATATAGCAACTCTAGCTCACTTACTTCAAGAGAAAATCTTCATTGGCAGTACACGTGGTTAAACTATGCAGTGAGACACCATCTTTCAGCTTAAACAATACTAAAGAATGTTATTATGCCGAATGGTCTCATTAAAAAGTATCCAAGTTTCTAGTCAATGATACTAAATTCAAAAACAAGTTTTGACTATGAGAATATCAATGTTTTTTGCCAATCTTATTCCTGATTGTTTTCATTTTGTTTTCCCTCAATTTTCTCACGTGTTCCTAAGTTCTGGTAAAACTATGGCGTTTATATATGGATTACTTAATAATAATACTACTAATAATAACTAACTTGTCCATATAATAAAAACACTAGGAGGAAAGAATAATTGGAAGTAGCAGTGGAAAAGTTAGACTCTGGCAATGGTATATAAGTGTGCTGCCATCTTTAGGCTGGCGATAAATTTCAAGGCCAAATGGAAACCTGACCAAGTTCACCCACATTGTTAATACAAGAACCATGTTTCCTGACAACTAAGAATCCTGGGATCTTCAGGAGAATGGGCAGTCAACATAACTTTGCTTAATTTCTCTCTACCTAATAATTGAGATTTTTAAGAAGACTTGGGTGGAATTTCCATGTTTAAAGGAATATTAGGCAATTCTTTTAATCAAATATATTTTCTTTCATTTGACTATCAGTAAAAAAATTCTTTTTTGAAAAAGCAAGATGGGAAATAAAGTATTAGGATATATTTACGGTTTTCACTTGAGATACATTTGGAAGTCATACATAATTTGCTATTTGCTGTTTCATATTCTCTAGCCAGTAATGAAATTGTCTTTTTTGCCTTTATATACCATTGTCTTTTTTCTAAAAATTTGACTCATACCTAGTATCTACCACCCCTAAATAAGATGAATTTTTAAAACACTGTTTTGAAACCACCTACATGTATTTATTCACAGATTTTTCTTTTAGCCATAAATACCCAAGCCTCAGAGAATTCAGGTTTTGACAAGATCGCTGACCTATATGGGTTTTTGCAAAACATTCATCCTTTATCACTCTCCTGCCTCTGGACTTAAGAGCTAGTGTGGGGCCCTGTGCTGCGTTCCCCAGAGGCAATGCCTGCAGAAAAGAAGGCCGACCTGGTGATGGCCAAGACAGCATTTCTTCAAATATTCAAAATGCAATGTACTTGGACACTGCAGTGCTACAGGTCCTGCTAGAGGCTTGCCAAGGGGCCCAGCAGCTGTTGCCACCACAGGTGGCTTCCAAAGACGTATCAGAGGAAGAACACAAATTCTGTTTCACTTCTGCTGTTAACACATGTCTGAAAGTCTCTCCCAGCTTTCTTTTACTGCTTTGGTTTGGAAATGCAGATGTTCAAGACCTATCTTCTTAGCTAGATTGTCAGCCACCACTTAAGAATAGAGACTTTATGCCTATTGTAATCAGACCTGCAATGTTTTGCACTTACTAGAAACATTAAGTTGTTATCAAATAACTGAAAAGGCTAAGAAGCTAAAAACTACTGCTGTGAATTAAAATGTAAAACATGCACATTTCGGCCTGATAAAGAACTAGAGATGGATTCTCTCTACCCATCTCCCCCAGCTTATGCAAAATTTAAAAAACAAAACAAAACAAAACAAAAACTTTGAATCCTTGCCAGTTAAAAGGCTATATCTGGCATGGTGGCTCATGCATGTAATCCCAGCACTTTGGGAGCCCAAAGGCGAGTGGATCACAGGGTCAGGCGTTCAAGACCAGCCTGGCCAGCATAGTGAAACCCGGTCTCTAAACATACAAAAAAATCAGCCAGGCATGGTGGTAGGCACCAATAATCCCAGCTACTTGGGAGGCTAAATCACTTGAACCTGGGAGGTGGAGGTTGCAGTGAGCTGAGATCACACCCCTGCACTCCAGCCTGGGTGACAGTGCAAGACTCCATCTCAAAAAGAAAAAAAATGGCTACATCTGCCCAACTCTTCTCCTTTTCCTTTATGCATCTTCTTTGAGTTTTTTCTCCAGTCTCTTAGACCTTGTTCTGTATCTATATAACTATAGTAACAATGACTGACATTAACTGAAAGCTTCCTTATGTTCCTAAAACTGTACTAGTTCTCAAGTACGAGAAGGAACATCTTAGAGTATGCTTTATTCCACCTAATTCCATCAGCACATAACCCACAGTATGAGTATCGGCTGAATCCCACATTCAAGTTGTGCCTTTGACTCTGTGCCTGATTCTGGCCTACATGATTCTGCTGTAGAAAGACCAATTGCCTAGAAGTCAGAGGATATAAGCCTCGGCCCAGTTCTTCCAATTGTGAAATATGGTGATAGACACTTAACTTCACTAAGCCTCAGTTTCTCTGTATATATAAAAGTGCTAATACTTTTTAAAAATATTCTTTGTTTTGCAGTTTGTGTAACACAATTTATTTGAATGCTCTTGACATTTTAATATAATTATTTCATGTCAATATGGCATTTATTCTTTATTAGCCTTATTCAATAATTACTATTATCATATATATAGAAAATATTAGTTTTTATTGGCCTGTTTGTTTTTAATCACTTATACCTTAAAACTTTTTAAAGAACAAAAAAAAGGGTACAAATAAAGTATTAAGAAGCTTTCAATTTTTTAGAAAAATAGATCTAAACTAAATGAAATCAGAGGCTTAAAGAGTAAAAAGAGATGTAATATATCTTTTAAATTTACTCACCTGGTAAGAAACAAATAGAGAACAATGAAAAGGAGTTACTATAGCTCATAACTGAAGGATTTAATTACAAAAAATATGCTGATGTTAATTTGGAAATTGAAACTTGTCTGCTAACACAGAATGATGGAAATGACCTTAATGTTGGGTTTGAATTATTCAGATAATTTCTTCAATCTTTCATCTTATTTTGCCTTTAAAAATCACACTGTACCCTGTAAATAAGTACAACCATTATGCATCAATTAAAAACAAAATAAAATCTAAAAAATAAAAACTCCTTGGATCATCAAGTGTTAGCTATTCAGTAACAATAGATGGCAAATAAGATTTTTTTAGTGTGCTGATGTAAGTAGAAGCATTGTGTAAACTATAAACTCCTATATAAATACATATAGACAGATAGTTACTGCTACCAGATTAACACTGGAAATCAGTGGGGTGGTGGGTGTTACAGGCAGATCCCCCTCATAACATGGTTAAATTCACCCTCCCAGGGCCCTCTGAGCACCCAGTTTCCAAGAGTCTTCCTTGATTGAGTTAGCCTAAGTCTCAGTACTTCCTGCTTTTTTGGACCTCAGCTGTACTGTCTTTAATATTCCCTAATTTGCTTCAAATATTCCTGTTTTCTCTGACTTGCTTTTTGAAGTCAAGGAGTTTTGTTGTTGCTGTTGTTGTTACTGTTTCTTTTGTTCCTTTGTTTTTTCCCTGAGAAAGCACTTCTACTATACC